CCATCAAATCCTTGAGGGCGTCGTAGAAGACGAGGACGAGAGCGCCTCCTGTGCTGCGGAAGACGTTGGAGAGCGCGCCCCGAAAGAAGGACTTCGGGCCCTCTGTTGTCGCGATTTTACCCCAACAGTGAATTGTATTCTTATACATGCGTTCACTGACGGGAAGCCCCGACTGCATCATCATTCGACGTCTCACTGTATCGAATGGATACGAGACTATACCCGACACTATGGTCACCACTTCGGCGATCGCGAACGATATATACCACGGGCTGTTCTTCGGGTCCGGAAGCATACCTTTGCACGTGTCGAACATTCCGAAGTACGCGGCCCTATAGATGATGATCCCTGTTATGCAAACATTGACATTAGATTATAGTGTTGTTTGGGAAACAATGCCCGCAAACAGAGCCTCTTCTCCACCCATACCCTGAACGGAGACAGAGAAGCCTCGATAGAGACCCATATAGCCATCGCTTTTGAACACTTTAGTCAAACAGTCGACCAAACCGTTGAATTGTCGATCGGCGCCAGTCTTGCCAATATCGGCGGCCAAACGGGTCCGCGCGAAGTCCAACGGGTAGACAAAGCACAGGGATGTGGCGCCGGCGGCTCCACCAGAGGCCAAGTTTCCCGCAAAATAGCGCCAGAATTGTGTCTTTTTGTCGACTCCGCCCAAAAAGATGGCTTTGTATTTGTCTTTGAAGGCAAAGTTGAGCGCTTGTGTCGGGAAATATCGGATAACATTCGCCAGATTTCCTCTCCAGAAGGCGCCGATTCCCTGCTCTTTGGGAATGCGGACAAACGCGTCGATAATACCTATGAATGGATGCAAACAACGCAAAAGTGGTCACCAGTGGTCACATCTCGTCACTAATGGTGACTAACAGACCTTTGTATCTCTTGCTCTCTTCGATCTGTTTGGACGAGTGCTGGACCTGAAGAAGTAGTTTGACTCTCTCGATGGGCGCCATCGCTGTCTTGGATACGGCCGCAGACACACCGCCGGCGATGAAGTCTTTAAGAAAGGAGACGGCGTCGACAGTCATAGTTCAGGGATCAGTTGCCAGATGTCAACGGATTGAAAACCTATCGATTAAACAATTAAATTAATGGATTAAAAATGTCTGCAATGTCTGCAAATTCACGATTGTCTTTATTGCGAAGACAACTGATCCCAAAATATCAATTCAATATTAAAATGCAATAAATCAATGTTAAGATAATGTCTGGAAGTGTCCATCAAATGTTATAATCAACAAATAATTGATTAAATCTCACCTCAATTTGGGATCAATTAAGGATTTTTTGCCCAAAAAATGATTGTAAAAAGTTTGCAACGATTTTCTATAGCTTTACAGTTATTGTCAAAAGCCATGCCTTTTGTCGCGCTTATAGGCAGTGGTATTGTATTAGACATGGATTTGTACGGCATTTGTAATGCATGTCTCGCTTATTGTGTGGCAAAGGATTTGGGGCTAATTTCTAAGCCGTGAATGCCTTTAATTTGCATGAATGTAAATTTTAATATTTTGCGGACAAATATGGATTTGAAAATTCATTGAAAAGGCGATCAACACTTTAAATGCTAATCCAAATCATTGTAATCCAAAGTGTAATCTTAGGACAAATAAACTTCGAGTCCAACCCGTATTGAATGTGGTTTTTGGGGCCCAAAAGCTAAACGCGTTAATTGAAAATATGTCTGATTCTCGGAAAATGTTTAGATTTTACAATTAATTTTGTTTGAAAGTTGCTCTAAAGGTGTATGAATTGTATCCATTTATAAACCTATATTAATAGCGTTTTCCTATCTCTTTGTGTAATTGACATTTATCAAAATGCTTTTGAATGCCTTTCAAGTACTGTAGTTGTGATAAAATGCATTTACTCTTGGTTAATGTAAGATTTTAGGTAATTTCTTATGACTGGTTTTTTATTGCAAATGACTTTTTTAGTGTGGAATTAACGAAAAAATAAATCTCAAACTTATAGCAACTGTTGGCATGATTTCGATGTCAAATGTTAATTGAATTAAATGTATATTTTCTGAAAAAGTGATTAATCAATGGTGTATTTGATGGCAAACTGAGGCCTCAGATGCAAAGGTTATATAACTTTTTTTTATAAAACAAATCCAAACTTCAGCACAAAAAATATGATTAATCGCTAAAAAATATTTTTGCAAAAATTACATTTCATTTATTGATAGCCAAACGAAATGAAAATAATTTGAATGCATTAATAAAGGCATTAATTTGAAAGCAAAATAATTATGTCTATTGATTGGTAATTAAATTTCAAGACATGTTTTCAATTCATAATTGATTGTCATTTTAGCAAAAGAAACGATAAAATAATGAAATGCTTTGCATTTAAATTCAGAGATTAGGCTAAAAGACATTGCAATCAAATGAGAGCAAAGAAATGCAAAGCATTAATACTCTATAGAAATGAATCTCAAGTAAAAAAAAACTTTATAAAAGAGAGTCCAAAGAAACTAAAAAGTTTTTTCCACTTTTCAGCGCTATTTTATCGCCAAAAACCAGACTTCAGAGCCCTTCCGACCCCTCTCTCCCTCCCTCTCACTCGTTATGAGCGCTAAACTGAAACCAGTGTTCAGTGAAACACATTTATGTTGTAATAGTTGTTGCGAACGACTCTAACATTCCGCGCAAATGTGTGACAGCCATGCAGTGAATGCACAGCACAAGTGTGTGGCCGCTATGGCTGACACACGTCTGGCAAGCATTTCATATGTTGTTTATGTTTGAATTGTTTTGAAAACTTTTGAAACAATGTTTTGAGAAAAGTGTCGATAAATTTGAATGAATTAATGGTTTTATTAAAGTATTGTTCACTTAATTATCATATAATAAGTGTTGTTATAATCGGTTTAATCATTAGTTTTGTTTCAATCAATTACTGGTCACTCAAACCGAAGGCAAACAAGTGTTCACTCAATATATTTGTGGCAATTCTTTCCCATCGAAACCATTACCACAAGAGACAGGCGTTGAGACACTCTTGGCTTCAGACCGTCCATCAGATTAACGACAATCACTCCCTAATCAAAGACAATGAAGAGCTTTGCGATATCAGAGTCAACGCCCGGTTCGTTGTCGGCGCCAAAGACTGTCCGATCGCCGAGCGGTTCCGCACGAGTCCTTATTCTTGTCGTTGGAATCAATTGACATTTAATCCTAACGATAGTCGCCTATATTTACAAGAAGTGATCAATGGATCCACTGATAGCGCTGTTGATACTCGACAGCCGTACAGAGGATTTAGTTTTGTGGTCTGTGTTTTGGCATTAGATTTATATTTGTTTAGATTAAGTAACTCTTGTGTCCAACAGATTAGACATTCAGTTGTTGTGACACAACTGGGAATCCATCGCAACTTTTTGAGTGACAATCAAAACATTACGATTGTTTTACTCAACGCTCAAAATAAAGTATATATTCATTGTTTTGTATTGTTATTGATTTTATAGTGTATTTAAATTAAATATTTAATGTCTGATAATGTGTTGTCTCTAAACAATAGGAAATAATCAAAAGTAAAACAATTTCATTGAATTCCTATGCTTTCAATGAAATACATTACGAGATAATCGAGCCGTTAGTTTTACCCAAAGATTTTTATGGTTTGCTTATGATTGACGACCAATCCTTGCCATCCATTGCAAGCAATGGTTTAAATGTGAAGTACAATGAGAACGGATTCATTCAAATTTTAAGAGTTTGTCCCCATTTTTCACCACTTCTTGTGCTATGGTTTCAATTGTTTGGTTTCGATTATAGGCTTACTATGGATTCACTGATTTTGAATCCATTGCTTACACATCGGAGCTGTTTATTGGACCCACTATTGCATACAAACTAACTGGTGATTAAACTTAACTTTATGTTATTTTGTGATAATTTTGAAGTTTTATTTTATTATAATTTATAAGTTGTAAATTATAATGTATTTGATAGCAATTTTATGATTTAATTACATTGTTTACTTATTTTATTATACAATTGTGTGATTCAGATCCAAAGAGTATTGATTTATTGCTAACATCTCAACAAGAGATTCAAAATGAATGGAATAATGAATTGTTAAGAATCGAGAAAAGTATTGCACAGGAAATGATTGACAACAAAGACATACTTCTAATTGATTCAATCGATGTCTACAGGAATTTAGCTGAAAAAGTCATACAATCGATGAAATTGTAAAAATGAATGCAATATTTTGTGGAATATAATTAATTTTATAGATTTTTTCTAAACATTTAGTGCTATAAATTCAAAAGAATTGACACATTTTATGAAAACAGACGACGACTGCTATTTAAATGTAATAAATATAATGAACTATTTAATGAAAAATAAAAATATGAATAATGTTTGGTTTGGAAAGTAAGTAAAAATAGTAGATATGATGTACTTTAAATTCTATGCAAAATAAACTAACAAATATTATATAACTTTATTAATAAGTTTCCGAAGAGTATGGCCTTTAGATTATTGGGGCAAATGGGCTGAAAATGATTACCAATCGCCTCTATATCCAACATTTGCGTGCGGTTCTGGATATGTATTATCGGCTGATTTGGTCCAATGGATCGTTTCAAATGCTCATCATTTGCATAGATTTCAAGTATACAAACGTTTTGTAAATAAGGTGACCACAATTCCCATCTCGGGAACTGATAATACTATAAGAACTTTTGAGGACAAAAGGGGACATTTTTAGCAATGAAAGAGGACAACATTGAGGACATAATTTTATTGATAAATTTATTTATTTGCTTTGGTTGAATATGTTTGAATGAATTTAACTATATATTTAACATAATTTAGTTAATTTTAATTATTTTGATTCATTGTAATCGATTTTATATACTATATTCGTAATTTTAACCACAATTCAGCTATGAATAATGTGGTTTATAGGATCGTTTGCACAGTTTGTCAGCCTATTTGTAAATGAATTTTAATATTAAATATTGATTAATATTTGAAGGGAGAGGACGTATCACTTGGCATCTGGTTGTCTGTTATTAAACCAAACTATAAAGATGTGAGATATTTACAAATAAATTACATTGAATTGATTTGATTTCTTTTAATTGTCTTTATTTTAGGACAAACGATGGGTTTGTAATAACACTGATCTCAAAGACAGAGAAAGTTTCAGTTTTCCACAATTGGAAGAAAAACATATTAGAAAAATACATCATTTTCTCTCAAGTCGTAACAAAAATAGTTAACAATTATTTTTTATAATTATAACTAAAGAATATATAAAAATATATGTAAAATAAAGATCTAAATCTTATAAAAAAAATGTTATCAAAAGTTAATAAGTTTTTTGATGGCATCAAAACATTTCCATTTGTCGGGCAAATAGAAGGGCTCAAAGATGTGGGGAAACGGTGTGTCGTAACCGCAGACCCGATATATAGGC